CCTCCTCCTCCTCCTCCTCCTCCTCAGCGCCCCTCTCTCGCTCTCTCTCTCTCTCTCTCGCCCGCTCTCCCCGGATGGTCACAAGGCTCGCCGTCACGTGACCCTCCCTCGCGGAGGGAGGGAGGCGGGGCTGCTCCTTTTCCCCGCCCCCTTTCTCCCTCTCCTCCAATCGCCAGGCGGAGGGGGCGGGGCCAAGAAGACCCTTACAGGGGACGCGCTTGGCCCTATTTCCCTTCCAGCCTGTAGAGCCCTCCCTCCCTGCCTCCCTCCCTTGGTTCTCGCAGTACAGACTCTGTGGAAGGCCTGATTATGGGGCTCCTCGGGGCGCATGCGCCACGCCTACTCCTCCTCCTCCTCCTCCTCCCGGGAGGGAGGGAGGGAGGGGGCGGAGCCTCCAGACAGAGCCCCGCCCATATCAGCCCAGCCCCCCGCCTGCCGGCCAATCAGCGAGCGACTCGCGTTGAGCCGGATGTGCTCCGCCCGGGCGCTAGAACGGCGGCAGCGGCGGCGGTGCTGGCTGCGCATGCGCAGAAGGAGGCGGCGCTGGCGACGCAGGTAGGCCCCGGAAGAAGGACTCTTTGGGATGAATGGAGACCCTTCTTGGGATTGGAGGCAGAGGCACACCTGTGGCTGGCTTCCTCTGGGCTCCATTCATTCGCATCTAAAGTATTTCAGTAGCCACAGTCTCATTAGTAGCAGCTACATTGATTACAGTAGCATTGCATGTTATGCAAGGTGTTCCTCTCTAGGAGAGATAGAGAGATAGAGAGATAGAGAGAGAGATACAGATAGATAGAGATAGATAGAGAGCGAGTATTTTATCCAGCATAAATTATCCATGTATATAATTGATTATCATGTCTAATTTAATATTTTTATTTATAATTTATTTTTACTATTATTTAATATTATTATATTATACACTATGACTTATTTATTATTTTTATTATAATAATTTATTGTTAGTATTTATCATTTTTATTCTCATTATTTATTGGTAATAGTTTTTTTTTTTTTGGGTTGGTTTTACATTAACATTGGTTGTTGTTGTTGTTGTTGTTGTGAGATTGTGGAAGAGATGGGGGGGGATTCCCTTGAATGAGAAGGGAAACGGGTGGTGGGTGGGTGGGTGTGCTTCCAGGGTGCTTTGGGGTTGCTGGTTGACTTATTTCCTTGTTGACTCTTAGAGCAGCCTTATTAATATGAAGGACAACACCCCCCCCCCCCACACACACACACACACACTCACCTGAACACAAACCATTCCCTGTTCTGCTCCGGTCTTGCAAAACCATCATTGCCCTTCAATTTATTATGTACTAGCTTGGGGACCCGGCACTGCCCGGGTTATTTGAGAAAGGAATTATATATCAAGGTTGGTCTTTATCAGTTATTTATATGGCTCACAGTGGTCTCGGGAAGTTAGTGAAGGGACTGCAAGTCCCATCATCCATGGTCCATCCTCCTCCAAACTGCACCAGGTCATGGGGGCTCTGTGCGCTAAGTTTGGTCTTTATTGGTCATTGTTGGGGGCTGCAGTAGTCTGTGGGAACTGAAGTATTGGAAAGTACTACAAATCCCATCATCCATTGTCCGCCCTCCCCCAAAGCTCACCAGGATGTAAAAGGGGTCATGGGGGTTATGTGTGCCAAGTTTGGTCTTGTTCACTCATTGGATGAGAGTCGTAGCGGTCTCAGAAAGTGAGTGGAGGTACTTCAAGTCCCATCATCCATGGTCTGCCCTCCTCCAAACCGCAGTAGGATGTAGAGTGGGTCATGGGGACTCGGCGTGCCAAGTTTGGTCTTTATCGGTCTTTGTTGGGGGCCACAGTGGTACTACAAATACCATAATCCGTGGTCCACCTCCCCCAAACCGCACCAGGACGTAAAGGGGTTCATGGGGGTTATGTGCGCCAAGTTTGGTCCAGGTGCGTCACCCGTGTTGGTCACAGTGGCCTGTGAAAGTGGCAGCGAATCAGAAAGCTGCCACATACACTTCCGCCCTCCACATACATACATACATACATACAAACATTCACTTTTATTATAGATATAGATAGATATAGATGTATGCATTATTATTATTTATTACATTATAATATTATAATAGTTGTAGTTGTTATTGTTATTTCTTATTTACTATTTGTTCTTATTTAAGATGTATTATATTAATATATTACAATTTATTATTTATTTTAATGTATTGCTGTTATTTATGTGGAGCCCCCGGTGGGTGGCGCAGTGGGTCAAACCCCTCCTGTGCCGGCAGGACTGAAGACCGACAGGTCACAGGTCCGAATCCGGGGAGAGGCGGATGAGCTCCCTCTCTCAGCCCCAGCTCCTCATGCAAAGGGGACGCGAGAGAAGCCTCCCTCCCACAAGGATGATAAAAAACATCAAATCATCCGGGCAACGTCCCCTGGGCAACGTCCTTGCAGACGGCCAATTCTCTCACACCAGAAGCAACTTGCAGTTTCTCAGTTCGCTCCTGATACGACAAAAAAACCCTGTTATTTATTATACTATTATATTATCATTTATTATAGTATAGTGTTATTTATTTATTTATTATTCATTATTATTTGTATTCTAATGTCTCCTAATGGAGGATTTTTCCCCATTGCCTTGGCCAATCAGGGCTCATCGGAGATGTCGTCCAACCACACCAAGCGTGCCTGTTAATTGCCCTACACAGTCTACACTGACCGTTTTGTGGAGCTCAAGCGGCAACAACTCTCCGCCAGGGAACTCAGAAGCAGGCCTGTTGGTGCCTCTCGACACGCCGTGGTTTGTTTCCAATGTCATCATCTCCACGCCTTGAAACCGCTTTCTTCAACACCGCTTTGGAACTGCATCGAGCGGTCAGTGCAGATGGCCCCGCCGACCACAGTCTCCAGGCGATGGCCGTAGGCGTTGTGGGCGCGCCGTGACTCCCGCTGAGCGGCCTCTCCGCGCCGGCCCCCCTCCCTCCCCGCCATGTCTGGGCCGGGCTCCCTGCTCTGGGCCGTGGACGTCTTTGGCCGCGTCTACACCCTCTCGGCCGCCGGGCACTCCTGGGAGCGGCTCTGCCGGGACGGGCAGCGCGAGTTCAAGCGGGTCTCGGCCACCAAGCAGTGCTGCTGGGGCATCGCCTGCGACCACCAGGTCTACGTCTACGTCCACGCCGGGGACCTGCCCATCCGCTGCCAGGAGGAAGCCTACGAGAACCAGGTGTGGCCGGGCACCGCTTCAGGGCGTCTTGAGTTGAGAGCCGTGGCTCGGACTGGGTTAGCGCCAGAGGGCAGGAGGGCTTCGGGGCTTCCGGGCCTCTTGCACTTGTCCGCTTTGAGAGAGAGATTACTGTCTGTCCGCTTTGGGTTAGTTGATGTTGTGCGGGTCTTCCTCCTTCCTGGTATGTTTAGCTTCTTGAAGGGAAAGAGAGGGAGAGAGAGAACAAGAGAGGAGGGAAGGAGGTGGGAAGGAGGACAGGAGGAAGAATCAGTGTCAGGTACACGATGTGCCAAAGATTTCAGGTTACATTTGCACTGGAGGCCAGATAGGTTCAAGCATGCATATATATATATATATATATATATATATATATATACACACATACATCATACACACACACACACATTAGTATATATATAATATATACTAGTGTGCAAATATATATATGGGGCTGTAAGGCAAGATTCACGTATTCTGAAAGATAAACAGGCGAGTTCCTTTCACAATAAGTGTATCTCTCTTAGTGAAGTGGGTATTCTTACCTCTCCGAACGCATCTCCCCCTATGAACCGGCGAGGATGTTAAGATCGTCCGGGGAGGCCCTGCTCTCGGTCCCGCCAGCGTCACAAGTGCGGCTGGCGGGGACGAGAGACAGGGCCTTCTCGGTGGTGGCCCCTCGGCTATGGAATGCTCTACCAACGGAGATCAGACAGGCCCCGTCGCTATTGGCGTTTAGGAGGCGGGTGAAGACGTGGCTCTTCGAACAGGCGTTCGGATAAGCATGTAATTAACATCTGACTCAGAAAGACGGCATACTGAACAAGGAATGGTAAAATGACTATGAGATCGGATCTGACTCTATTCGAGGCGTGATGACGTTATGTGTATTGTTTGTGGATGTTTGTCTCTTGCATTGTTCAATGTTGCACTTTTTTACTGTAAACCGCTTAGAGTCGCCTTTTTTGGCTGATATAGGCGGTATACAAAAGGAGTAAATAAATAAATAAATAAATAAATATTATTATTATTATTATTATTATTATCATTATCATCATCATATTTATTTATACCCCATGTTGTTATCCCTCCTTTGAGGGAGACTCAAAGTGGTTTAACATAAAAGCATTAGCATATGATTTAAATTATTATTATTATGTCTTATGTTATATTATATTTATAATTATTGTTATATTTATTTAAACCCCGCTTTATCTCTCCTGCAGGAGACTCAAGGTGGCTTAACATAACCATTAGCATACAACTTAACTTATTATTATTATTATTATTATTATTATTATTATTATTATGTTATATATTATTATAATTGTTATTATATTTATAATTATTGTTTTATTTATTTAAACCCCGCTTTATCCCTCCCACAGGAGACTCAAAGTGGCTTAAACATAAACATTAGCAGATGACTTAACTTATTATTATTATGTTATATATTATTATAATTTTTATATTATATTTATTACTAGCTGTGCCCTGCCACGCGTTGCTGTGGCCTATAGTAAAACTTATCAAAGTTGAGGTAGATATATTCTGGACTGTTATGAAAGAGAGGTCCCTCCCTCCCTATTCCTTCCCCTTTTCCTCCCCCTTTCTCTCCTTCCTTCCTTCTCTGCCTCTTTCTTTCTTTCTTTCCTCCTTTCACTCCTTGTTATTATTGTTGTGATATTTCTTTATACGCTTCTTTATCACTCTCGCAGGAGACTCAAAGCGGCTTAACATAAAAGCATCAGCATACAATGTAAATGTATACTAGTATGCAAACATTAAACCAGGATGAAATAGCTTTATGTCTACCAGATATTATGATGGATTGTGGGAGTTGGAGTCCGAAACGGCTGAAGGGAGGAGGGCCGAAGTTGGCCCCGGCCTGGGGGTCTCACCCAATGAAGCAGCAATAGGAAAGATTTCCAGGCCAATTAGATGTGACGCTGATGACCAGGACGGTTTTAAATGGTGTATTTTAATATTGAGATAAATGTTTGTAATGTTTGCCGTGTGTATGCCGTGCTCCGCCCCGAGTCCCCCGAGTCAGGGTGAGAAGGGCGGAACATCAATGTTGTAAATAAATAAATAAATACATAAATGACCTTGCCTGAGATGCCATGAGTGACGTGTGGCCTTCCTTCTCGCCAGCGCTGGAACCCGGTGACGGGCTTCTGTGAGAAGCTGCTTCCCAGCGACCGCTGGCAATGGAGCGACGCGACCGGGCTGGAGCCGAGGGCGCTGGGGGGCTTCGCGCTGCCCTCGCCCCACTGGGAGTGGGAGGAAGACTGGCACCTCGACCAGAACTGCGCCGGAGAGCCCACAGGAAAAGGGGTAGGTCGGCCGGGCCCTGCCCTGCGCATCGTCCGCAGTAGCGTCACCTAACTTCCTGACTGAGAGCCGTTCAGCAGTGGAACTCTCTGCCCCAGAGGGAGTGTGGTGGAGGCTCCTTCTTTAAGCAGAGGCTGGGTGGCCATCTGTCAGGGGTATTTATTTGTTGTGTCAGAGCAACCAATCCATTATATTACATTTCCAACAGAACAAAGCAAACAAACAGAGAAAATACAAAACTTGTGAGTTTGGTAGTTGGTTAAACGTCCTTTGCCCAGGATCTGGCCCCTTGGAGTGCCGCCTCTGGTGTCGCTGTGAGAAGGTCCTCCCTTGTGCATCATGTGGAAGAAGGGCTCAGGGTGCTTTGCAGCAGGTGGTCAGTGGTTTGCTCTTCTCCACACATGTCGCATGTCGTGGACTCCACTTTGTGGCCCCATTTCTTGAGGTTGGCTCTGCATCTCGTGGTGCCAGAGCGCAGTCTGATCAGCGCATTCCAAGTTGCCCCGTCTTCTGTGTGCCCAAGGGGGAGTCTCTCATTTGGTATCAGCCATGGATTGAGCTTCTGGGTTTGAGCCTGCCACTTTTGGACTCTCGCTTGCTGAGGTGTTCCAGCGAGTGTCTCTGTAGATCTTAGAAAACTATTTCTTGATTTAAGTCGTTGACGTGCTGGCTGATACCCAAACAGGGGATGAGCTGGAGATGTCCCTGCCTTGGTCCTTTCACTCTTGGCTGCTCCTTCCCGGCGGATGTCAGGTGGTGCGATACCAGCTAAGCAGTGTCATTTCTCCAGTGGTGTAGGGCGCAGACACCCCGTGATAATGCGGCATGTCTCATGAAGAGCGACATCCACTGATTTAGCGTGGTGAGATGTGTTCCACACTAGGCATGCATACTAGCATAGCGCAAGGGCAGATGTCTTCACTGTGTCTGGTTGTGATCCCCAGGTTGTGCCAGTCAGCTTTCGTATGATGTTGTTTCTAGCACCCACTTTTTGTCAGGGGTGATTTGAATGCAATATTTTTGCTTCTTGGCAGAATGGGTTTGGACTGGATGACGGCCCACCAGGTCTCTTCCAACTCTGCTAGGATTATTCTAGGATTCTATTATTATTATTAGTAGTAGTAGTATTATATATTTTTATTCTATATTTTCAATTTTAAGACATGCGCATACACCTCAACATGTGCAATTCCCACCCCCTCCACCACCAGGATTGTCTTCTTTTACCTATTAATTCTTTCTGAGACAATCCTTATAGATTTGCTTGCTCTGTAAGAGGCATGGGCCAACTTCTGGGTGTCTTGGACTCCAGCGCCCACCATTCCTCCTCACGGCCTCAGGCCCCTTCCTTTTCCGCCTCATTCGCTTAAGTGGAAAAGGAAAGGGAAAAGGAAGGGCCCTGAGGCCGTGAGGAGGAATGGTGGGCGTTGGAGTCCAAAACACCTGGAGAGTCAAAGTTTACTACTCATTTATATATATACATATATACATACACACACACATTTATTTATTTATTTAGGTTGCTTCCACCCCGCCCTTCTCAGGGCAGCTTACAAAAGCAAGGCACCATTTGATGCCCGCATCACATCACAGCAATAAAACCATAACATCAATTAACAATTAAACAACAATTCTTGCATTATAACCATAAAACCAATACAAACTAATTTCTCCTCATTGACAGTCAGCGTTCGCCATCTCATAGTCCAAATTCCAATTCCACTTTGTCAGTCCTGTCAGTCCTAATCGTCTGATTGTCCTTACCTAGTTGTCAGATGGCCCAAAGGCCTGGTCCCACAACCACGTCTTTACTTTCCTCCTGAAGGAGAGGAGGGATGTTGATGCCCTAATTTCCCCAGGTGAGGGGCCACCACCGAGAAGGCCCTGCTCCTCGTCCCCACCAACCTCACTTGGGAAAGCGGTGGGGTTGAGAGCAGGGCCTCCCCAGATGATCTCAGATTCCGGGGTGGGACGTAGAGGGAGATACGTTTGGACAGATACACCGGACCAGAGCCATATAGGGTTTTGTAGGTCAAAACCAGCACTTTGAATTGTGCTTGGAACTGGATCGGCATCCAGTGGAGCTGACACAGCAGGGGGGTGGTGTGCTCCCTGAATGACGCTCCAGTGAGTAATCTGGCTGCCGCTCGCTGGACCAGTGGAAGTTTCCGAACAGTCTTCAAGGGCAACCCCACGTAGAGTGCGTTGCAGTAGTCTATTCGGGATGTAACAAGAGAGTGGACCACTGTGGCCAGATCAGACTTCCCAAGGTTATAATACACATATACACACAGACACAGACACACACACATCTGACTTACATTGACTCCCTAGGTTAGAACAAGGTGGACTGGATGGCCTCCCAAGTTTATGATGCTATATATATCTGTATGCTGCCCCCCAGTTACAAACATCCAACTTACATTTAACTCACACTAAAGAATGGGGATGAGACCATAGCAAAAGGGGGGAAGGATTTCACCCAGTATATTTGAACACCACCCAGGCGGAGGATGTCTCCAGCGGGGCTGGATTGGCCGTGGGAGGCCCTTCCTTGCCTGATTCTGTCTGGTTTGCCTCCCCAGGGCTGGACGTACGCCATGGACTTCCCGGCGGCCTACACCAAGGAGCAGCGGTGGAACTCCTGCGTGCGGCGGCGGAGGTGGATCCGCTTCCGGAGATACGTGGCCCGGGACGCCTGGGCACAGGTGCGCCCCCCCCTCCCCCTCTCTGAAAGGGGTGCTGGCACATGGCGCACAACGGGGGTGTCACCAATACACGCAGGTTGTGTCCTTTCCCTGGAGAAGAAGGGGGGCGGGGTGGTTGATCTGTTCGTTTGAGACGGCTGGCTCTGATTGAGATCCCAGGGGCACCAGGTCGGGGTTTGAGCACCATGCGTGTCACTTTTATGCAGCATTGCCTTGGCACCAAGTGGCTCCATTCACACACACACACACACACACACACACACCCATCCTCCCTCGTCCTCTCGCTAAGGGCAGGTGAGATTCCTTTGCAGGAGTATTTTTATTTGTCGTGTCAGGACAACCAGTCGATTGTATTACCTTTCTAACAGAACAAAGCAAACAAACAGACAAAATACAAAACTTGTGAGTTTGGCAGTGGATTAAATGTCCTTTGACCAGTGTGTGGCCCCTTGGAGTGCCTCTGGTGTTGCCGCAAGAAGGTCCTCCCTTGTGCATCATGTGGAAGAAGGGCTCAGGGTGCATGGCAGCAGGTGGTCAGTGGTTGGCTCTTCTCCACACTCGCACGTCGTGGATTATTCCACTTTGTGGCCCCATTTCTTGAGGTTGGCTCTGCATCTCGTGGTGCCAGAGCGCAGTCTGTTCAGCGCCTTCCAAGTCGCCCTGTCTTCTGTGTGCCCAGGGGGGAGTCTCTCATCTGGTATCACCCACGGATTGAGGTGCTGGGTTTGAGCCTGCCACTTTTGGACTCTCGCTTGCTGAGATGTTCCAGCGAGTGTCTCTGTAGATCTTAGAAAACTATTTCTAGATTTAAGTCGTTGATACCCAATCAGGGGATGGGCTGGAGTGATGGGACCCTTGGTGGTTCCTCCGCTCGGTCCAGGCTCCACCCGCCCTGTGGGAGGGACGTCCCTCCTGCCCCTCCCTCTCGGTCCAGGACTGAACCCGGCTGTGATGTTCCTCCTTCATCAGGCTGGCAAAGTTCACTTCATGGTTGAGACGTCCCTCGCTTTGGCTACCACGCGTTGCCTCCGCCTCCGTTCTGCCCGGTGTTGTTGTTCTTCTGCTCCTCGGCTTCTCCTTCAGGCCAAGCGCTTGCTTTTGCCGCAAAGGCATTCTGCGCCTCTGCCGAGTGTTCTTTCTCCAGCTCAGACGCTCCTTCTTTCTCCCAGACACGTCCCAAGGGAGGCGGAGGGGCCCAGGAATACACGAATGCTGGAAAAAGGAGCGAAACCCATGCTTTGTCCAAGGCTTTCATGGGTTGCTGTGCATTTTCCGGGCCATGTTCCAGAAGCACTCTCTCCTGATGTTTTGCCTGCATTATTATTATTATTATTATTATTATTATTATTATCTTTATTTGTACCCCGCTGGCATCTCCCGAAGGACTTGATGCGGCTTACAAAGGCCAAGGCCTCAAAACACAACATAACAATACAACACCTAAAGCAAATTAAAAACAATTAAAGCAATATTAAACAGCAAAACAACAAGCAATAAACAATACACCAAAACACAATAAAACTGGGCTGGGCCAGAGTAATGGGTACAGGATTAAAAGTGCTGATGTGACAGGTGGTATGTAAGGATTATAGGGTAAGTGCAGTGTGCGATGTGCAGCAATCTTAGTTCTACTAAAGCGCTTCCGGGACTTGTTATTGGAGATTTCCTCTTCTGGGAAGGCACATCGGAACAGCCAGGTCTTCAAGTTCTTTTTGAAGACTGCCAATGTAGGTCTACTTGCGTCTCTGGGTTGTGAGGCCAATGCTGTTTCCCTTCCTCCTTTTCTCTGGCGCAACAGATTCCCTCCCCGGAAGATCCCAGGCAGCTGCCGGATCCGTTCAGCGACCTCTCTGTGGGCGGGTGGGAGATCACCGAGGAGCCGGTGGGCAGGCTCTCCGTCTGGGCCGTCTCTTTGCAAGGAAAGGTGCGTACGCGGGAGAGGAGGGAGGAAGCAAGGAAGGAAGGAAGGAAGGAAGGAAGGAAGGAAGGAAGGAAGGAAGGGGGCCTTTTGTCGCCACTGCGTGACTCTATGGGAGTAGAGTGTGTGTCTTTCCCCCTGAAATAAACCAAGGGGGAGAAAATGTGACATTGCAAGACGATACCAGTTGAAACCCGCTGCGTTCCCTCTGGTGCTATCCCGGTCCGAGCAACGGCTCTCAACTCAAAGTGCTCTGAAGTTGGGGCGCTCTTAAGAAGAGGCTCCACTTCTGCAGAAAATACTAAGTTTGCAGGCATGAGCAAACTTCGGCCTTCCCTCCAGATGTCTTGAACTCCAACTCCCACAATTCCTCACAGCACAGGGCCTTCCTTTCTTTCCCTTCCTTTCTGCTTAAATGGCTGAGGGGGGGGGGGCGGGAGGAGGGGGCCTGAGGCCTGGGTGGTTCTATTATAATTATCATGATGAGTCTGGCTATGTCTCCCGGCAGCAGGCAGTCAGGGGCCAGCGGGTGCCACCCAGGCTAAGGATGTCTCCTCCAAGGCAGCATGCGCTCCAAAGGGGACAGAGGACAGGCCTGCAAATCGTTCTCTCAGCCACCCTGAGTCCCCCCCTAGAAGGTTGAGAAGTGCGGGGTAAAAATACCCAAAATAAATAATAATAATAATAATAATAATAATAATAATCTCGGCTGCAGGTCTGGTACCGAGAAGGCGTTTGCACCCACAACCCCGAGGGCTCCTCCTGGTCCGTGGTGGCGGCTCCCGGGGAAGCCGTCCAGATCAGCTGCGGCCCGGATGACCTGGTCTGGGCCACCCTGTGGGAGGGGCAGGCCGCGGTCAGGGAGGGCGTCGACAGGAACAACCCCCAGGGTGAGCAGGTGGCCTTGTGGCGGTTGTGGTTGTGGTTGTGGTATTATGGCAATTTTTTCATTATTATATTACTTTTTATTAGTTTATTATATTATATTTCTGTATTAATATTTTATTATTACTATTAATGCTTTATGTGTATATTGTTGTATTTTATTTTATTATATTATTTTAATATTTGTTTTGTTATTAGTAGTCTATTATTATATATTTATTATTTTCATTATTATATTGCATTACTATTATTTTATCACTATTTTTATTATTTTATGATTTATTACTATTTTTATTATTTTATATTATTATATTATTATATTCTTTTTAATTTACATAACATTATATTATTATATTTTCATCTGTATTAATTTTTATTATTATTATTAATGCTTTATGTGTATATTGTTATATTTTATTATATTATTTCAATATCTGTTTTGTTATTACTAGCCTATTATTATATATTTATTATTTTCATTATTACATTGCATTACTATTATTTTATCACTATTTTTATTATTTTATGATTTATTACTATTTTTATTATTTTATATTACTATATTATTATATTCTTTTTAATTTACATTATATTATATTATTATATTTTATATATGTATTAATATTTTATTATTACTATTAATGCTTTATTTGTATATTGTTGTATTATGTTATATTAATATTTGTTTTGCTATAAGTAGTCTATTATTATATATTTATTATTTTCATTATTATATTGCATTACTATTATTTTATCACTATTTTTATTATTTTATGATTTATTACTATTTTTATTATTTTATTATTATTATATTATATTGTTAGTGTAGGCCCGTTGGTGGCACAGCTGGTTAAATTGCTGAACTTGCCAACCGAAAGGTCGGCGGTTCGAATCCAGGGAGCGGGGCGAATCCAGGGAGCGGGGCTAACAGCGGGTTTTACTCCCGCTGTTAGCCCCAGCTCCTGCCAACCTAGCAGTTCAAAAACATGCAAATGTGAGTAGATCAATAGGTAGCGCTCCAGCACTCCAAGGTAAAGGCGCTGCATGCAGTCCTGCCAGTGGCCACGTGACCTTGGGAGATGTCTACGGACAACACCGGCTCTTTGGCTTAGAAATGGAGATGAGCGCCAGAGTCGGACACAATTAGACTTCATGCCAAGGGGAAACCTTTACGTTTTTATTATCAATACTACATTAATATTTTATTGTATTATTGGTATATTAATATTTTAGTAAAGGCAATATTTTATTATAATTACTAGCCATCCCCTGCCACGTGTTGCTGTGACCCAGATGGGGGTTCTGTGTGTGAGGTTTGGCCCAATTCTATCACTGGTGGTGTTCAGAATGCTCTGTGATTGTAGGTGAACTATAAATCCCAGCAGTTACAACTCCCAAATGTCAAGATTGTTTTTTCCCCAAACTCCACCAGTGTTCACATTTGGACATATGAGTATTCGTGTAGAGTTTGGTCCACATCCATCATTGTTTGAGTCCACAGTGATCTCTGGATGTAGGTGAACTACAACTCCCAAGCCAAAGGACACTGCCCACCAAACCCTTCCAGTATTTTCTGTTGGTCATGGGAGAACTGTGTGCCAAGTTTAGTTCAATTCCATCGTTGGTGGGGTTCAGAATGCTCTTTGATTGTAGGTGAACTATAAATCCCAGCAAATGCAACCCCCAAATGCCACCAGTGTTCACATTTGGGCATATGGAGTATCAGTGCCAAGTTTGGTCCAGATCCATCCTTGTTTGAGTCCACAGTGATCTCTGGATGTAGGTGAACTACAACTCCAAAACCAAAGGACACTGCCCACCAAACCCTTCCAGTATTTTCCATTGGTCATGGGAGAACTGTGTGCCAAGTTTGGTTCAATTCCAACACTGGTGGGGTTCAGAATGCACTTTGATTGTAGGTGAACTATAAATCCCAGCAACAACAAGTTCCAAATGACAAAAATCAATTTTTTTGAGTGAAGGACATACATTGGCCTGATAGGTGTCTTGTGTCCAAGTTTGGTGTCAATTCATCCAGTGGTTTTTGAGTTCTGTGAATACCACAAACAAACATTACATTTTTATTTATGTAGATTATTATGTTATGACTTTTGTTCATGTCAGGAGCAACTTGAGAAACTGCAAGTGGCTTCTGGTGTGAGAGAATTGGCCGTCTGCAAGGATGTTACCCAGGGAACGGCCGGATGTTTTGATGTTTTCCCATCCTTGTGGGAGGGAGGCTTCTCTCATGTCCCCCCCCCTTTGCATGGGGAGCTGGAGCTGACAGAGGGAGCTCATCCGCACTCTCCTTGGATTTGAACCTGCAACCTGTCGGTCTTCAGTCCTGCCGGCACAAGGGTTGAACCCACTGCGCCACGGGGGGCTCAGCAGTATAATATAATATAATAATAGTATGATATAATATAATATAATAATTATATTATGACATGATATTGTACCATTGCCTTGTTATTATATTGCCTTGCTACTGTTATGAAGTCCCTCTGCTTTGGGTCTCGGCTGACCGTTTGCCGCTTCTCCTCCTTCTTCCGCCAGGTCTCTCGTGGACGGTGGTGGAGCCCCCGGTCCCGGGCTGCGGCCTCTTGCACGTCGCTGTGGGCGTGAACGTGGTCTGGGCCCTCACCAAAGACCGGAAGGTGAGCCAGCCCAGAGGGACGCCGCCTGCCTCACTGGACTCTTCCCCCATTGAAAGCAGGAAAAAGGGTTACTCCAAGGTTACTCCTGAGCAGTTGCAGCAGCTCCTTGGAGTGCACTGAATCCCAGATTGGAAGGAACCCCAGGGCCAGCCAGCCCAAGCAGGGAGGCACCATCCAAGCCCCCCAGGCAGATGGCCATCCAGCCTCTGCATAATAATTATTTATTTATTTATTTATTTGTCGTGCCAGGGCAACCAGTCAAATTATATTACAATTCTATCAGAACAAAGCAAACAAACAGGCAAAATACCAAATGTGTGAGTTTGGTAGTTGATTAAATTTATTTATTTATTTATTTCAGTTACTTTTACCCCGCCCTTCTCAACCCCCGAGGGGGGACTCAGGGCGGCTTACACAACAAGGCACCACATGGTGCCTATACAGTTACAGTTACATATAATAAAAACATAGTTAAAACAAGTAAAGTAATTGTTACAGTTAAACACACCAGGCAATCAAACCGCATGATATAAAACTGGTCCTTTGACCAGTCCCTGGCCCCTTGGAGTGCCTCTGGTGTTGCCGCAAGGAAGTCCTCCATGGTGCATCATGTGGAGGAAGGGCTCAGGGTGCATGGCAGCAGGTGGTCAGTGGTTTGCTCCTCTCCACACTCGCATGTTGAGGATTCCACTTTGTGGCCCCATTTCTTGAGGTTGGCTCTGCATCTCGTGGTGCCAGAGCGCAGTCTGTTCAGCGCCTTCCAAATCGCCCAGTCTTCTGTGTGCCCAGGGGGGAGTCTCTCAATTGGTATCAGCCATTGGTTGAGGTTCTGGGTTTGAGCCTGCCACTTTTGGACTCTCGCTTGCTGGGGTGTTCCAGCGAGCGTCTCTGTAGATCTTGGAAAACTATGTCTTGATTTAAGTCGTTGACGTGCTGGCTGATACCCAAACAAGGTATGGGCTGGAGATGTCTCTGCCTTGGTCCTTTCACTATTGGCTGCTACCCCTGCCACTTTTGGACTCTCGCTTGCTGGTGTTTCTGTAGATCTTAGAAAACTATTTCTTGATTTAAATCATTGACATGCTGGCTGATACCCAAACAAGGGATGGACTGGAGATGTCTCTGCCTTGGTCCTTTCACTATTGGCTGCTACTTCCCGGCAGATGTCAGGTGGTGTAATACTGGCTAAGCAGTGTAACTTCTCCAGTGGTGTAGGGCGCAGACACTCCATGTCTCGTTAAGAGCCACATCCACCGTTTTAGCATGGTGAGATGTGTTCCACACTGGGCATGCGTACTCAGCAGCAGAGTAGCACAGCGCAAGGGCAGATGCCTTCACTGTGTCTGGTTGTGATCCCCAGGTTGTGCCAGTCAGCTTTCGTATGATATTGTTCCTAGCGCCCACTTTTTGCTTGATGTTCAGGCAGTGCTTCTTGTAGGTCAGAGCACGATCCAGAGTGACTCCCACAGAGTGACTCGCCACAGAAGCGACCAGCACGCAAGCAGGCAAGCAAAACAACCCAATAATAATAATAATAATAATAATAATAATAATAATAATAATAATAGAAGCCTAGAGTTCCTTCTACTATGTAGGAAGACACCATGCAAGCCCTCCCAGCAGATGGCCTTACCGCCTCTGATTTGAAGCCCCCAGAGAAGGAGACCCCACTTATTCCAGTTTCAGAATTTGGGGAATAGCTTGACTGACAGGTCCTCAGCGTTGACCTTGCTTGACCTTCTTCTTCCCAGGTCTGGTTCCGGAGGGGCGTGAATTCGCACAATCCCTGCGGCACCAGCTGGATCGGGATGGTGGGTGAACTGGTGATGCTGGACGTGGGCCTCAATGACCAGGTGAGTGAGGCTCGGCCTTCCCACTGGGAACCACCGGCGGGAGGGAGGAGGAGGCCGGGAAAGTCTTGGTGGACATCCATTCCCCTTTCACTCAACGTCCAGGGGATCATTGAACACATTCCTAGTGGAGTGGAATGGCGGCTGGATTGGGACCTTGGACTTCGAGTAAGGGAATAGTAATAAGAATAACAATAATACAACAGCAGCAAATCTCTCAAGGTGGCTTTGGAACACGTTCCTGTTTGCGAGAAGGAACTATTTATTTCATTTATTTATTTATTATTTAAATAATAAATTATTTAAATAAATTATTATTAAATTTAATTATTTAATTAATTATTAAATTTAATTATTATTAAATTTCTTATTATTTAATAAAATATTATTTATTAAATAATAAATTATTTATTATTATTTATTATTATTATTATTATTATTATATTTCTTATCCACCCCTCCTCATGGCTTGAGGTGGGTTACAACAGTGCTAAAACACACAATCCAAACATGTAAATTATTATTAAGTTATTAAATTTAATTATTTAATTAATTATTAAATTTAATTATTATTAAATTTCTTATTATTTAATAAAATATTATTTATTAAATAATAAATTATTTATTATTATTTATTTATTATTATTAATTTATTATTATTATATTTCTTATCCACCTGTCTTCATGGCTTGAGGTGGGTTACAACAGTGCTAAAACACACAATCCAAACATGTAAATTATTAAGTTATTAAATTTAATTATTTAATTAATTATTAAATTTAATTATTATTAAATTATTATTAAATTTATTATTATTTAATAAATTGATATTTATTAAATAATAAATTATTTATTATTATTAATTTATTATTATTATATTTCTTATCCACCTGTCTTCATGGCTTGAGGTGGGTTACAACAGTGCTAAAACACACAATCAAAACACGTAACTATTTAAAATATACATATTAAAATATGTTATTATTATAATATTATTATTATATTCTTACATTACTTCAATTATTTTAAAATTATATATGTTATTATATTATAGTTATAATATTTTTATAAATTTGTTATATAATAATTATTGAATTATATGTGTATTATATTATTGTATATACTATAATTATATTTAATATTTTGTCAAAGGCTTTCATGGCTGGAATCACTGGGTTGTTGTAGGTTTTCCGGGCTATATGGCCATGGTCTAGAGGCATTTTCTCCTGATGTTTCACTTGCCATAGATGCAGGCGAAACGTCAGGAGAAAATGCCTCTAGAATATGGTTGTGAGGTCTGTTGGAACTAGGCAAAAGGGTTTATATATCTGTGGAATGACCTGGGTGGGACAAAGGACTCTTGTCTGCTGGAGCCAGGTGTGAATGTTTCAACTGACCACCTTGATTACTACTACTATTGTTATTATTACCGGCCGTTAGGGATTATGGTGGGCGTTGGCCCGTGCCAGTCCTAGAGGGGTTGTGCTCAGGTCACACGTTGTGTTGTGTTGCGGTGAGTGTGCAAGGCGTTCCTCCCGCAGGTGTGGGGCATCGGCTGCGAGGAGCGGGCGGCCCTCTTCCGCCAGGGCGTCACGCGGAGCGAGCTGAGCGGCAAGGCCTGGAAGGCCATCGCGTGTGGACGGGACACGGACCGCTCCCAGGCCGGGAGCACCACCAGCCTCCTCAGGTAACACCTCCGGGAAGCCACAGGGACGTTCAGAGGGAGGAAGAAGAAGAAGGAAGAGAACCCTTCCTCCAATATAAGCGAGGGTTGCTTCGGAGGGAGGCCCGTTTCATAGTTGGGAGGTTTGTGCGTTCCGTCAATACAGATCTCTGAATTACTAATCAAGACGGGACCCCCCCCCCCCAACTCCGAAACGTTCTGAAACTTGGCAGTCCTAAAGTTGCAAATGTTGCCGGCCAAGGGGGCAAGTTTCATCCTGAAAGCCATAAAAATGACAGAGAAACGAGCCTCGACATTTTCCCCATCGCAACTCATGGAACAAATCTTAACTAAACAATTACGAAGCTTCCGAGATTCAGATTACAAAGTGGAACGGGGCCCCTCCTAATCTTTAAAAAAATCCTAAAAATCAGCAGACGAGCGGGTCTTTCCGACACTTGGCTGGACTGATGCCCTGCTCATGTTGTCTCTGTCAGCGTGTGACTCCTGGGTCATGTACAGAGTCCTTGAGGTTACTCGCTCACACAGACTCACATAGCACACTGCAGTCTTCTTCAGTTTCAAAAATAACAAAGTTTACTGGAAGCATTTCAAGACACGACTACATCTTGGCGGCTGAAAATGGCGACTCACAGAGCACAGCACTGAACACACAGGCAAAGAAGGACACCTGCCCTCCGGCCTTACCTGCCTCCTACCTGGCACACTCCCTTCTCTTCTCTTCTCAGGGCAAAGGGATCCCTGTCATCTCGTTTCAAGGACTCTACTCTCTGCCCTTACTCTCTCTCTCTCTCTAATAATAACACTCTAGTGCACAAATGAACAAAACTGAACATCACGGAATCCATTTTGAAATACGTATGAATCCATTATTAGCACATTGAAAAACATACATATAATACTTCCAATTATCCTGACAGTCACGTTGTGCGGAAATTCAAGGGGATGCCTCTTGTCGTTTTATTTTCAATGCTTTGTGAACAAAAATTCCTAAAAACCAGTGGGTGGGTGGGTGGGTGGATGAGGCTGGATGGCCATCTTCTGGGGGTGTTTTGATGGTACCTTTCCTGCATGAAGGCAGAAGCGGATTGGGCTTGATGGCCTTTAGAGGCCCCTCCCAACGGAGTCTCCTTCAGGAGAGATAATAATTGTAATAATATATTTAATGATATCGATAATAATAATAAACATTGCAATACCAATAATGGATACACAGCTGCTTTGAGTTCCTTCAGGAGAGATAAAGCAGGACAACAACAACAACAACAATACTTGAGGAAAGTTAAAGCAGGATATAAAGAAATAAATATTAATTATTATTATTATGATATTATAATGATGTGTGTCTGTGGTGGAGGTGTCCACTTACACAGTGCCCCCCCCCCCCACTGCCATTGCAGGGTAGAGTGGCCACCATGAAGGAACGTGTAGCCCAAACGCTACCCACGTCCTCCCCAAGCACCACACTGCCCACCACCCAGGAATGCTTTCATTGGGGGAGAATTTCATCCCTGCCCCCCCCCCACAGGCAGGCATCCCAGGGTTCCTTGTGTGGAATTTACATGACCCCGCCCACTGCCTGTCCCTTAACCCTTTCCTACGGCACACAGCAAAGACCAACTACACACACTGCAGGGTTTTGAGAGAAATGGCCTTGATTTTGGGAAGTGTAGTTCACCTGCATCCCGAGAGCACTCAACCCAGGTGACGATGGATCTGGAGCACGCTTGGCACACGCACCCAACATGGCCACCTGTAAAGGGTGACTGCCCTTGGCATGTGGGAGTTGTAGTTGTATCCAGAGAGCACTGAATCCAGCTGACAACAGATCTGGACCAAACTTGGCCCACACACCCAACATGGCCAACTGTGCAGACAGGCCTGGTTTGGGGAGGGTTGACCACGTTGAGTCTTCTTTGGGAGAGACAAAGTGGGGCAGAAATGGAAATCAGAACAACAACAACAACAACAGATGCACAGCCACACAGCGGGGCATAAATAAATATAATTATAATATATTAATATAATGTATTATAATAATATAGCAATGAATATAATGCTATAGTAATGGTTTTCCCGCCCTTCCTTCCTTCCTTCCTTCCTTCCTTCCCCCTCTCTCTCCCAAGTGCCGGCTGCTTTTTCACAAACGACATCAGAGAACAATCCGCCTCCGCGATCCTCCCAGACGGGGCGCGTCCCCCCGACCTCGAGGGCGCCGCTGCCACTGCTGCCGCTGTTGCTGTGAGCGGAGAGGACGGCCGTGGCGAGGAGGGCGCAGCGGCCTGCCCGGTGGTCTCCCCTCTCGCCGAAACGCCTCCCGCTCTGGAGAAGAGCCTCGAAGACCCCCCGGCAGAAGAACCCGCGGCCTCGGAGCCAGAGTCGCCTCCGGCCGAGCTGCGGTGGAGCAACATCGACCTCAAGGAGGCCGGGAAGCCCCCGCCCGCCAGCAACGCCCTCGCGGAAACGAGCAGCCTGTGCTCCTTCGGGGGTTTGTCCGTCGGCATGGAAGACCCCTTAGTCACCGACGAGCATCCGCTGTGGGCCTGGGTCTCTGGCGGGGCCTGCCTGGTGGAGCCGCACGGCCCCCCAAAGTGGTTCACGGCACAGTCAGGTAGGAAAGATTCCTTTTCGTTATACGATGGGACAGAGACTTATGACGGCCCCAGCTTTGAGTTAAGAACTGACACTCGTCCTGGGTTTGGCTTTGAGTTACGAGCATCATTTTGAATTGAAAGCTGTCACTCAGTCTGGGTTTAGCTTTGAGTTGCGAGCATCATTTTGAGTTGGGAGCTGATACTCTGCCTGGTTTTGCTTTGAGTTGCGAGCATCATTTTGAGTTAAAGAGCTGACACTCTGCCTGGTTTTGCTTTGAGTTGCGAGCATCGTTTTGAGTTAAAGAGCTGACACTCTCCCTGGTTTTTTGCTTTGAGTTGCGAGCATCGTTTTGAGTTAAAGAGCTGACACTCTCCCTGGTTTTTGCTTTGAGTTGCGAGCATCGTTTTGAGTTAAAGAGCTGACACTCTCCCTGGTTTTGCTTTGAGTTGTGAGCATCGTTTTGAGTTAAGCCTCCTTCTGCTTTAATCTACTTGACCTTCACAGACTCTGTGATTCACTCCTGTTTTCCCAAATCTGCCTTCTTCTATCCTCATTAAAAAAGGCAGGTGCTAACTCCTCTGGAGAGTTATCACCGCTTGACTCTGAAACATCCTCATCCGGATGTGTAGTTTCACTTTCCCAGCCACTGCCCTCAGAATCAACAGTTTCCAAACCATTTGGGGAAAATACATGTTCAGTAGCCTGTTCAGTTGCATCAGGAAATACAATCAGAGAATCAGGTTCAAGCTCACACGGAGGCCGAGGTTCAGGTTCACACAGAGGCTGAACCCCAACAGCCACCTCCTGTCTCTTTCAGCCCTGACATCTTCCTCCGCTTCCTCCTCGGCCTCGGCGTCCCCCTCGCTCTCGCTCTCCTTTTCTCCGGCGCAGACGGCCGCCTGGCGCAAGCAGATCCTGCAGCAGCTCTCGGAACGGACGCGCAGGGAGACGGAGGACTTCCAGCACTACGAGCAGGCCGTCCAGCAGGTGACGTCCGGGGGGGGGGGGGGGGGGGGGGGGGGGGATAGGGAAAGGGATGGACGGAAGGAAGGGTGGATGGATCAAAGGGTGGAAGGAAGGATAGAAGGAGGGGGGAGTGCCCTATTGGATGGATGGATGGGCGGAAGGAAGGAATGAAGGGTGGAGTGAAGGATGGAAGGATGGCCTCTGAAGCCAAAGTAAACAATGGGGATATTGGAAGGAAGGGTGGATGGAAAGATAGATAGATAGATAGATAGATAGATAGATAGATAGATAGATAGATGTATAGATAGAAGAAATGGCAGGTGTCATTTTTCCTCCTTTCACGGAGGCAAAATGGATGGATGGATGGATGGGTGGAAGGGTGGAAGGAAGGATAGAAGGATGGGGGAATGCCCTTCAAGGGCCTCTGAAGCCAAAGTAATCAATGGGGATATTGGATGGATGGATGGGCGGAAGGAAGGAATGAAGGGTGGAGTGAAGGATGGAAGGATGGCCTCTGAAGCCAAAGTAAACAATGGGGATATTGGAAGGAAGGGTGGATGGAAAGATAGATAGATAGATGTATAGATAGATAGATAGATAGATAGATAGATAGATAGATGTATAGATAGAAGAAATGGCAGGTGTCATTTTTCCTCCTTTCACAGAGGCAAAATGGATGGATGGACGGATGGATGGATGGAAGGGTGGAAGGAAGGATAGAAGGAGGGGGGAATGCCCTTCAAGGGCCTCTGAAGCCAAAGTAATCAATGGGGATATTGGATGGATGGATGGGTGGGTGGGTGGGTGGGTGGGTGGGTGGATGGGTGAGTGGGTGGGTGGGTGAGTGGATGGATAGATGAAATAGCAGGTGTCGTTTTGCCTCCTTTCATGGGTCACCTTTTGTTTGGCCAAACTGGAAATTAGTTCTCATGGGTCCGGACACAATAAGCCTGCTGGTGACTGATTGATTGATGGATGGATGGCTGAAGGAAGACATGCCCCGAGTGCCCTTCATACCCCTCTTTTCTGCCCCCCCCCCTTTCCAGTCCGTCTGGGTCAAGACGGGCACCCTGCAGTGGTGGCGAAGCTGGAAGCCCTACAAGTGGGTGGACGTGCGTGTGGCGCTGGAGCAGTTCACCGGCCACGACGGGGCGCGGGACAGCATCCTCTTTGTCTACTACATGCACTTCGAGGAGAAGAAGGTAGGGGCGTCCGGCAAAGAGGCCGGCAAAGGCAACCCCTTCTGAACATGCCTTGCCAGGATCAGGCCAGTGGGAGGCGGTTCGGAGCAAAACACAGGGTTTTCTCATTGCATAATATTTGCTCAGTGGAATTCAGGCCATTTGGAGGGTCTTTGGAGCAAAGGCCAGATTTATTTTCATTGCATAATAGTCGCACCCGCAGTTTTGGTCAGTGGAATTCAGGTCGTTTGCAGGCAGTTCAGAGCGAAAGGCAGATTTTTTTTTCATCGCATAATAGTCGCACCCCCCGGAATACAATATCTATTGACTATTATGCAATGAAATGTGATGTGTACTATGTTTTTTATCCCGCTGTCCCAGGGAAGTGCGAGGAAACGTACACATGTGCTGTCGTCTATGTTTACATTGTTACAATGACCATGGGTTTAGGGTGTGCGTGTGTGCGCCGGTGTCACACTGAAGGATCCAAATAGCAAAAATACTTGCAAGACAGCTTCGTTGGAACTGCCTACAATTGCTTTCATCTCTACAGACAAGAAAGGCGCAACTGGCGTGCTTCCCTCGCCTCTGAGTTTCACACCCACTTCCCCCACCGGTTGCTCCACAGATTCCATAACGTGGTCTCCTCCACCATCTGCTTGTCTCAGGGTGTCACGGAGAGGATTTATGATGTCTGGTTGATTCCTAACACTGGGTTGCTGTGTGTTTTCTGGGCAGTTTGGCCATGTTCAGAAGCATTCTCGCCTGATGTTTCGCCTGCATCTATGGCAGGCATCCTCAGAGGTTGAGTGTGACAGCGCGAGTGGCGGTACCTATGTATAGAACTGTTAGTTGTAAGATTTAAACTGTTGTTTCATGCTTAATCCTGCCCCTTTTTTACACTGCTTATATATAGTTGTATGGATTGGTTGCTTGTAGCTGTCAATCAGTACTGTTTGGATCCACCTCTTCCTGCAGGAGGGGAGAGCTTCCTTTTTCTCTTCATTCTGCCATCAGAGTTCGTACCACATGGACGTGAGTAAAAGACTTGATTCTAAAGGACCCTGATTTAAGTTACCTCTTAGCACCAGTTCTGAGGTTTTTTACCCTTGGGGCTCATGCTTTATGTCCAGATCGTCCTGGACAATTATTGAGCGCCTTCGAGCCGGTTCTTTTGGCACCAAAGGAAGATCCTGAGTCTTCAAACATAGGCCATCTGAACTGGGGTTGTGGTTTGCTCCGGCATTCACAGCCATTGAGGAAAGAGGAAACTTGGTGAGGCTTCTCAGTTTCAAACCCCTTGGACCCAGGACTGATTGAGACTGTAACATATGTTTTCCTTCACCCCTCTAAAGTTTTCCAGCTCATTGCTTTGAAGAAATGACTTCGTGATCAATAAAACTTACTTTGAGTTATTTACAGCATTTTGGGTTTTTGAGAGTTCCAGTTTCCTAAAGGAGGGCAAGAAGCAATCCCTTGGGGGAAAGGTGCCACGTCCATCCCTCCTTCATTAAGACTAAGAGCCCCCAGGTGCGACGGCACATTGAGGTCTGTTGGAAACTAGGAAAACGGGGTTCCTATACCTGTGGAATAATATCCATTTAATGGCCTTGCAGTTTTAAGGTGTGGCTTCTTACTGCCTGGGGGAATCCTTTGATTAGCTGACCCTGATTGTTTCTTGAGTTCTTTCTCCCTCCCTGGACATCATTCCACAGGGATATAAACCCCACTTGCCTAGCTTTCAACAGACCTCACAACCTCTGAGGATGTCTGCCAGAGATGTGGGTGAAACGTCAGGAGAGAATGCTTCTGGAACATGGCCAGAAGACAGCCCGGAAAACACACAACGGCCCAGTGATTCCAGGCATGACAGCCTTCGACAACACCTCGATCCCTGACAGTCTGCATGTCTTTGTGTGTGTTTTGCCAGTACATCCACGTGTTCCTCAACGAGGTCACCATCCTGGTGGAGATCCTGAACGAGGCCAAGCACTCCTTCGCGCTCTACACCCCGGAGAGAACCAAGCAGCGCTGGCCCGTCCGACTGGCCGCCGCCACCGAGCAGGAGATGCGCGACTGGGTGAGTCGGCCCACAGGCCGGAGGCATTGCGGAAATGGCCAACGGGTCAACCTCATGGAACTGATAGTAATAGTAATAATGTCAATTATATTAATATTATGATTATGCCTCCAAACAGACATTTATTTTTATTATTATATTAATTATGTTATTATTATTTCTCCAGATATTTATTATTATTATTATTATTATTATTATTATGCCTCCAAACAGACATTTTATTATTGTCATATTATTATTATTATGCCTCCAGACATTTATATTATTATTATTATTATGCCTCCAAACAGACATTTATTATTATTATCATTCTATTATTGTTATATTTATAACAGTAATATTATCACGATGCCTCCAAACAGACTCTTATTATTATTATTATTATTATTATTATTATTATTATTATTATTATTATTATTGTATTTCTTACTTGCGTCTCCTTGTGGCACAAGGCGGGTTATGGCGTCATTAAAACAATGAACATCTAATCTAAAATCAGAATTACCAATCTGAGATTTAAAAAGAATATGTGTGTCCAAAATGTCAAGTTTCCATGCTGCTGGATGTCCCTGCTTCAACTTGGATATCTCACCAGAGAGTTTACCTGCCTGCTTTTTAATAATAATAATAATAATAATATCAGTAATAATAATTATCATTATTACTATCACTATAGCCACCTAAAAAAGTGAGCCAGTCACACAAAATAATAATAATAATAATAATAATAATAATAATAATAGTAATAATGCTAATTATGCCTCCAAACATACATTGTATTATTATATTAATTATATTAATTATATTAATATTATGATTATGCCTCCAAACAGACATTTGTTTTTATTATAATATTATGATGCCTACAGACATTTATTATTATTATTTTAATTATATTATTATTACTTCTCCAGATATTTATTATTATTATGCCTCCAAACAGACATTTTATTATTATCATTATTATGCCTCCAGACATTTATATTATTATTATTATTATTATTATTACTATTACTACTATTACTATTATTACTATCATTATTATTATGCCTCCAAACAGACATTTGTTTTCATTATAACATTATTATTATGATGCCTACAGACATTTATTATTATATTAATTATATTAATTATATTATTATCAATCCTCTAAACAGACATTTTATTATTACTATTATTATGCCTCCAAACAGACATATTATTATTATTGTTATTATTATTATTGTATTTATTACAGTAATATTATCACGATGCCTCCAAATAGACTCTTCTTCTTCTTCTTCTTCTTCTTCTTCTTCTTCTTCTTCTTCTTCTTCTTCTTCTTCTTCTGTTGCCTTGTCCGTCCCCGCTGTTCCGCCCGCCCTCCGTGACTGCAAATGGGCCTTTGTCTCACCTGGCTTGACCTGGCCTGGCCGGCCTCCCTTGCTGACCGCCCGCCCGCCCGCCCGCCTTCCCGCCCACCGGCAGCTGTCCGTCTTGAGTGCCTCGTGCTGCGAGGGGCGTCGCCTGCAGGGCCCTCCTTCCCGCCGCGCCATTTGGTCGCTCACCTGCAAGGGAGACGTCTTCGCCTGCGAGCCCAGCCCACACCTGGAGGACCCCGCCCGCCCCGCCCCCTGCGACCAGATGTAAGCGAGCTTTGCCAAAGGAAGGCTTTTGCGGCCGGAAACACTGGCCGACTGTGGGTTTGTGTGAAGCCCATGCGAATGGTGCATTGAGCAAGCTTGCGTAGCCATGGAGTAGCCATGAAGCTGCAAAGTCAACCAGTGAGGGTCTCTCCAGAGAGGTAGCCTGGCCTCTGTTGCCTGGGGGCACCCTCCATTTGGTTGTTTGTGTGAGGCGCCAAGGGGGTGCAAGGACTCTTGTGCGAGGGAGGGAGGGTGGCCGGGCGGTGGTGGTGGCGGTGGTGTTTTCCTGACGGGGCTGTGGTTCCTCCTCCGCAGGTTCTGGCGCCAGGTGGGGGGTCACCTGCGCCTGGTGGAGAGCAACACCCGCGGCGTCGCCTGGGGCCTTGGCTACGACCACACGGCCTGGGTCTACACCGGCGGAGGCGGAGGCGGAGGGAGCTCCTTCTCAGGTCAGCCGGGCCGCAGCCTCTCCCGCATCATCCCCCACCTTAACCTTCCAAAAATGCAATCACGGCTCCTCCTGTATCGATATCGATATCAATAAAAGTGTAATGTTCATTTGTGGGATTAGCATAACTCAAAAACCACTGAGGGAATTGACACCCAATTTGGACACACAACAACAATCAGGCCAACGAGTGACCATCACTCAGAAAACACTGAAAAACACAGCGGAAGAGACTTAAAAAGCTTTAAAAAAACAACCCCAAAAAGACGCTACAGCGCGTGCGCAAAAACAACTCTCCCCAGCAAACAAAACACACAATGGCATCTCCACACTCTCTTCCAGACTACAGCTCCCAGAATCCCCCAGACCAGGCCCTCTAATTGAGGAGGGGGATCCACATGCGCTGCTTCCAAGACGCAAGCTGTCTTCTCCTTGGATTTCCTTGAGAGCATCCCAATTCTTAAATCTTTCCCGTTTCCTATCCCTGGACTGCAGCTCCCAGCAAGATAAGGCAGAGAGGAGATTAGATGCCTTCCCAGAATAGGAAACTCCAGCAATATGTCCCAGAAGCACTTCATCAGAGATTCAAGATTGTCCGCACATTGCACTTACCCCACTTTTCACCTGTCACACTCAGCACTTTTTAATCTGTACCCATTACGTTTGGCCCGGCCCGAGTTTTATCGTGTTGTGGTGTATTGTCTTATTGTTTACTGTTATTGCTTACTGTTATTCCCAGCCATCCTCTAGACCAGGGCTCCTCAAACTACGGCCCGAGGGCCAAATTCGGCCCTCCAAGGTCATTTACCCAGCCCTTGCTCAGGGTCAACCTAAGCCTGAAACGACTTGAAAACACACAACAACAACAACAACAACAATCCTATCTCATCAGCCAAAAGCAGGCCCACACTTCCCACTGAAATACTAATAAGTTTATATGTGTTAAAATTGTTCTTCTTTTAATTATTATATTGTTTTTAAGTGTTTTTTGGCACTACAAATGAGAGATGTGCATAAGTGTGCACAGGAATTCATTCATGTTTTTTCAAATTATAATCCGGCCCTCCAACATTTTGAGGGACTGTGACCTGGACCTCAGTTCACAAAGTTCAAGGACCCCTGAGATAGAGAGAGAGAGAGAGAGAGAGAGAGATAGATAGATAGATTAGATAGAGATAGATAGGGTAGGTGGGTAGATCGATAGATCGGGAGGAGTGCTGGGAGTTGCAGTCCAAGAAGAGGTAAAGAAGTAAGAAAAGGGGAAAGAGGAAGGGAAAGAAAAGGGAGGAAGGGAGAGGAAGAGGAAGAGAAGGAAGGAAGGAAGGAAAGAAAAGGGAGGGAAGAGGGAGGGAAGGAAGGAGAGGAAGGAAGGAGGAGAGGAAGAGGGAGGGAAGCAATGTGTGGCAGGTGCAGCTAGTTTTAGGCAAGAACATGCCCCTCATATAACATAATATACTGTACCATGCTATACTTGGCAGGTCTGGCCGGCAGCGGGGAGCACATGCACGCGCAGTCGGACGTGAAGTGCGTCTACATCTACGAGAACCAGCGATGGAACCCGGTCTCCGGCTACAGCAGCAGGTGATGAGCCCGAAATGGAAAGCGGACTCCCACGTTCTGCCCTTTGGGAGACTCTGCTGGGAGAACCCCAATTTCTCTCTCTCTCTATAGGGAAGTCATGGGCTCCCAGCAGACACCTGGCCTCTCTCCACGCTCACAGGGGGAGGGCTCAGGAAAGGGGCGTGTCCTTAAGGAGTGTCAGTCTCAGAAGAAGACGAAGGGGATTGGAGGAGGGGAAAAGCGAGGCATTTGAATAAAAAGGGGCGTGCCCCTGAGGAGCATTAGTCTAACAAGAAGAAGGGGATTGGGGGAGAATGGAAGGATTTGAATAAAAGGGGGCGTGTCCCTGAGGAGGGATTGGAGGAGAGGATAGGGGGCATTTGAATAAAAGGGGGCGTGTCCCTGAGAAGGGATTGGAGGAGAGGATAGGGGGTATTTGAATAAAAGGGGGCGTGTCCCTGAGAAGGGATTGGAGGAGAGGATAGGGGGCATTTGAATAAAAGGGGGCGTGTCCCTGAGAAGGGATTGGAGGAGAGGATAGGGGGTATTTGAATAAAAGGGGGCGTGTCCCTGAGAAGGGATTGGAGGAGAGGATAGGGGGCATTTGAATAAAAGGGGGCGTGTCCCTGAGGAGGGTCAGCCTAACGAGGGGAGGGGCGGGGACACCAAAGTGACAGGCGGGCAGGGAGGCCAATCGGGGGAAGAAGGGCTTTCCAGGCTCCTGCCTGCCCGCTTCCTCATTGGGGACTGCAGACTTGTGCAGGATGTGGCAGGTCCCAATGTGCTTCTCTCTCTCTCTCTCTCTCTCTCTCTCTTCGAGGGGCCTCCCCACGGACCGGTACATGTGGAGCGATGCCTCGGGGCTGCAGGAGTGCACCAAGGGCAACACGAAGCCCCCCTCCCCGCAGTGGTCCTGGGTGAGGACGGGGTCCCTTTGCCACACAGGCCAAGGAGACCTTTCGTGTTGAATCTGCATGCCAGTCGGAACAGGGACTTTTCCCAAGTGTGCCTCCAGCCAAATACATAATATAATGGAATATAACATAACATAACATTTGCGTAAAGGCAAGTCCCCAAGTTGCAAACAAGATCAGTCTACAGGTCCATTCTGAAGTTGAATCTGGATGCAAGTCGGAACAGGGGCGTTTCTGAAGTGTAATTCCAGCCAAATATAATATAATATAATATAATATAATATAATATAATATAATATAATATAATATAATATAATTTAATATAATTTAATTGATATAATATAATATAAATGCCTAAAGGCAAGTCACTTCCAGGCTGAGAAAGGCAGTATATAAATATGGTAAATAAATAAACAAACAAATAAATATATATATATAAATAAGTCTTCAAGATACGAACCGACCTCAGGCCTTCGCTTTGGGACCCTTGACTTACGGGATCCCTAGAGAGTGTATGCAGATATTTGTATGTGTGTGTGTATATGTGTGTGTGTGTGTGTGTTTGTGCATGTGTATGTGTTTATATGTATAGGTATACAAATGTATATATATAACATAATATTATAATATAATATACTTTAATATAAATGCATAAAGGCAAGTCGCCTCCAGGCTGAGAAAGGCGCTATGCAGTATATAAATATAGTAAATAAATAAACAAACAAACAAATATATAAATAAGTCTTCAAGATATGAACAGACCTCAGGCCTTCGCTTTGGGGCCCTTGACTGCAGGGATCCCTAGGGAGTGTGTGCAGATATTTGTGTGTGTGTGTATGTATATGTGTGTTTGTGTATGTGTTTATATGTATAGATATACAGATGTATGTATACGTGTTTATGTGTACATATGTGTATGTGTGTATATGTATGCTTATATGTCTGTATGAATGTGTATATGTGTGTATATGCATACTTACATGTGTGTAATGTATGTGTACATGTGTATGTGCATATGTGTGTATACATATATGTGTGTGTTGTATATGTGTACACATGTAATACAGGTGTATCTATACATGTGTATGTGTGTGCATATGTGTATGTATATATTTGTGTGTATGCATACATATATGTGCGTGTGTATATGTTTCTATGTGTACGTGTGTGGCTACATCTATGTGTATATATATGTGTGTGTATGTGTACATATGTATGGGTATATCTGCATGTGTGTGTATATATCTGTAGATGTATATGTCTATGGATATGTATATATGTGTGTATATGCATTCATATATGTGTGTATATGTGTATGTAAACATGCATACATGTATATGTGTGTATATATGTAAATGTGTATATATGTAAATGTGTATATATGTAAATGTAAATGTGTATATGTGTATATGCATATGGGTATATCTGTGTATATATATATGTGTGCATATGGGTAGATGTATATGTGTATATTGGTATGTATTTTTGTGCCTGTATTAGTTGGGGTGTCCCTGCTTTCAGCCCCATTTCCTTATTCCTGAAGGACTTCCTTCCTTCCTTTCTTCCTCTTCCAGGTTTCCGACTGGTTCGTGGATTTCAGCATTTCCGGTGGAACGGACCGCGAAGGCTGGCAGTACGCGGCCGACTTCCCCACGTAAGGAGCACGGCCTTTCCCTCTCGTTCGGAGGGCATTTCAGTCCCTCTTGCGGGCATGGCCTTGTTTCTCGGTTCAGGCTCAATGGTGTTTCCTCTTATTCCGGCAGCTCTTACCACGGACACAAGACAATGAAGGACTTTGTGCGGAGGAGGCGTTGGGCCAGGTAAACAAACAGCGCACGTTCCTTGTTGTTGTTGTTGTTGTTGTTGTTGTTATACCCGCTTTATGTCTCCTGCAAGAAACTCCGATCAGCTATGTATCCATTATTGTTATTAATATTATTACTACTACTACTACTACTACTATTACTATTATATTTATTTATGCCTTGCTTTATGTCTCCCAAAGGGAACTCAAAGCAGCTATGTATCTATTATTATTACTATTATTACTACTATTATATTTATTTATTTATATCCCGCTTGATCTCTTCCAAAAGGGACTCCGAGCAGCTTAACATAAAATCATCAGCGTGCAATTTAAAACATACCAAGACATTAGTGTTAAAAGAGGGTGAGAGGTGCACCCAAGGTTTTCCTCCCCATGGCACACTTCTTGTCGCTGCGCATGACATTCTCCAGCAAATGGTGGTTTGTTTTGGGTTTCAGGGTTTTGCAGGTGGAGTTGTGCCTTAGATTCAGGTGGCGCACGCATGGGACTGGAGCGAACGTGGCGTTGTGTGGCAAGCCCTGCTGAATAAGCCTTGCCGACCAGCCCCCCCCCCCACACACACACACACACCTCCTTGCCAGAAGCCAACTTGAGAGCAGCCTGCAGTTGAGTCCGTGCAGAGGTTCAGCCTTCCCTTCTGTTTGCCTTTTGCCAGGAAATGCAAGATCGTGACCAGCGGTCCGTGGCTGGAAGTCCCTCCCATCGCTCTGTGGGACGTGTCCATCATCCCCCAGTTGGAGAAGGAGGAGGAGGAGGAGGAGGAAGCGCGTGTGGCGCTCTGGGCCGTCAGCGACAAGGGAGACGTGCTCTGCCGGCTGGGCGTCACGCCTCAAAACCCCGCCGTAAGGGGCACGACAGGGCGGGAAGGCAAGGGCGGGGGCTCCCAGGGGCCATCCAGTCCAGCCACGTTCTTCGTTCCTGCCTTCATGCAGGAAAAGAACCATAAAAGCCCCCCGGGCAGATGGACATTCAGCCCTTGCAATGATAATATTATTATTAATAACACAAATAATAATGGAAGGGGCTCCCAAAGGCTTTTATTATGTGTATAGATAGATCATTTGAAGTATTATTATTTATTTGAATTATTATTAATCAACATTTCTATGATTATTATTACTATTACTATTATTATTATTATTATTTACTAGCCCTGTTGTGGTTGTGATTCTGTAGGGCACGTCCTGGCTACACGTGGGGACGGACCAGCCCTTCCTGTCGGTCTCCATAGGATCCTTCCACCAGGTCTGGGCCGTCGCGCAGGACGGATCCGTCTTCTTCCGTGGCTCTGTCTCCCCAAAGAAGCCAGAAGGTAGGCGGGTGGGTGAGTTGGTGGGTGAGTTGGGGTGGGTGAGTGAGTGGGTGAGTGGGTGGGTGAGTGAGTGGGTGGGGTGAGTGGGTGGGTGGGTGAGTGGGTGAGTGGGTGAGTGGGTGGGTGGGTGGGTGAGTGGGTGAGTGAGTGGGTGAGTGGGTGGGTGGGTGAGTGGGTGGGTGGGTGGGTGAGTGGGTGGGTGGGTGGGTGGGTGAGTGAGTGGGTGGGTGGGTGGGTGGGTGGGTGGGTAAGTGGGTGGGTGGGTGGGTGGGTGAGTGAGTGGGTGGGTGGGTGGGTGGACCAGCCGGCAAGCAAGCAAGCCTATTGCAGCCCCTGCATAAATAATAATAATGATAATGGTGGAGTTGGAAGGGACCCCAAAGAGGGCCGCCCAGTCCAACCTTCATCTGCCTTCATGCAGGGAAAGCACCATCAAAGCCCCCCAACAGATGGCCCTCCAGCCTCAATAATAGATGATTAATGATAATAAGAGTTGTATTGTCGAAGGCTTCCATGGCCAAAACCAAGGCCACAACAACATCTGTTATAGAACTCCAATATGCCGATGATAATGTCGTATGTGCACATTCAGAAGACCTACAAGCCACTCTAAACACCTTTGCGGAAGCCTCTCATTGAACATCGAGAAAACTCAAAGTGCTCTTTGAGCAAAAGGCTCCAGCCAATCCGTCTCCAATGCCAGAAATACAGCTCAATGGTGGAACATTGGAAAATGTTGACTGTTTCCGCTCCCTTGGCAGCCACCTCTCCACCAAAGTCAACATCGACACCGAAATACAACACCGCCAGAGCTCAGCGAACGCAGCATTTTTCCGAATGAAGCAGAGAGTGTTTGAGGACCGGGACATCCGTAGGGAGACCAAGGGGCTTGTCTATAAAGCTGTTGTCCTCCCAACCCTGCTCTACGCCTGCAAAACGTGGACTGTCTACAGATATCAACACTGACACTGAAATACAACCCCGTCTGAGCTCTGCAAGTGCAGCATTTTTCCCAATAAAGCAGAGAGTGTAGGGAGACCCAGGGGCTTGTTTATAAAGCCATTCCCCTCCCAACCCTTCGATACGCCTGCGAGACGTGGACTGTCTACAGATGTCATACGCGACTCCTGGAACAATTCCATCAGCGCTGCCTCTGAAAAATCTCTTGGGAAGTCAGGCGGGGAAATGTCCACGTGCTGGAAGAAGAAGCAAGACCACCAGCATTGAAGCGATGCTCCTCGCCATCAACTCTGCTGGACTGAAGGCCAACTCTGCTGTCCGAATGGCCAAAGACCACTGTCTCCAAAAGCAGCTACTCTGCTCACAAATCAAGAACGGGAAACGTAATTCTCGTAGACAGAAAAAGAGATTGGAAGATGGGCTTAAAACCAGCCTTAAAAACTGTGGCATAGATGCCAAGAAAGAACTGGGAAGCCCTGGCCCTTGAACGCTCTAACTGGAGGTCAGCTGTGGCCAGCAATGCTGCGGAATTTGAAGAGGCACGAATGGAGAGCGAAAGGCGGAAACATGCCAAGAGGAAGAAGGCGCGTCCTTCTCGGGACCGCCTTGCACCTGGAAATCCATGTGCCCACGGTGAAAGGGCACGCGGGTCAATGATAGGGCTCCACAGCCACCTATGGACTCACGCCAAGGCACTCAACTTGGAAGTGTGGAGACCAAAATCCACTGATAGTGGTGATATGAAAATAACTAAATTAACTCAATGTATATATCACAAATACACATATCAAAAACTGCCACATACACATAAGTAGAAACAATTGGTTCTTCTCTTGAAGTATAAAGCAAAGTCTTTGTTCGAGAAAACGTCCTTTCTTTATTACATGTGAGTAGACTCCAGTAGCCACGTGAATTGACTCCGACTCACAAGAGTCTTCATCAGGCGGTTGGGTCTACAAACAACACATATCATGAATACACATAATTACAATTGAACAATTTGTTACAACAAGGTTGTAAGAATTTATACAGACACTCTACTTACTCAAATTATCAAAAACAAGCTCAACTTCTAAGGTGAGAAATTCACCAACAGTCTTCCGGAGGGGTGGATGCTAAGGGGACATAGATACTAGTGGCTAAAGGGACATTGTAGCAAGAATTATAAACCATACCTAGAGAAATAGACAGTCTGAGAAACAAAGACTATATAATACAACTATTCTTTGTTGAGCAGGGCACTCTGCAAGAGGTTTTATTCTGTGGCAAGTGTAGGATTAAAATAACCCATTACTGATATAGCAAGTCCATTGGTCAGGTGATAGTGACATCGTTAACAGTTCAGAATACAGTGGGGTAAAACTTACTCGGTTATAAAAAACAGTCATATGAATTGGTGTTGTTTAACCCCTTTGGATGTTCTGTTTGCAGGGTAAAGATCCAGAAGGATTCCCGTTAGAGAAGTTTAGTTTGAAAGTCAGTGTCTCTGGGTGGAGTAAGCACCTCCAAAATCTGTACTTGAAGTGATTCAGGGCTGTGGTTCAGGTCCACAAAATGCTTATACAAAATCAGTAGAACGTTTCCTGATTTTACTTTTGTGCTCAATGATCCTGAGCTTGACTTCCCTGCTGGTTTGACCAATGTAAACCAGTGAGCAGGGACAGGTGATGGCATAGACTACACCTTCAGTGGAGCAGGTAGCAAAATGATTGATGCTATACTGAGTTTTGGTGTGCTGGTTCTGAAAGAACTTAGTTTGGACAAACTGTGAACATATAGAACAGTGATGACAAGCATAGTTTCCTATTAGAATAGGTTTAGAGATCAGTGGCTTAGGGTCTGAGTGAATCAAAATATCCCTGACTCACACCAAGGCACTGAACTTGGAAGACCATCATCCTTGGGCGACGCAGGATCACCTCAACAAGTGAAGCCAGCCGTAGTTTTCCCCATTTAAGCATCTCTCAAAATGGGTGCGCCTGGGGATCGCAAGTGTGCCTGACGTATTTCTGTGACTGCCGGTGGCGCTGCGTGTCGGGTGCGCCTTGCCATTGGCGGCATGGAAGAGTGTGCGTGCGTGTGCGTGTGCCAGGGCTGTCCCTGGTGCGTGCGTGTGCCCATGTGTGTAACGCTGACCCCTCCTCTCCTGGCGCAGGCGACGGCTGGTACCACATCCCTTCTCCTCCGAAGCAGAAGCTGAAGCAAGTCTCCGTGGGAAGGACCTCCGTCTTCGCTGTGGACAAGAACGGTGAGACAGAGAAGGAGGAGAAGGAGGAGAAGGACCAACCAGCCTTCCTCTTCTTTTGGGGCTCATCTGCGCATTTGGTTTTTAGGTCTCATGCTCCCCTGTTGCCCTAGTGACTCGAGTCTAATGTGCCTTCGAAGGGAATGCGCTCCCCCATTTCTAGTGGCGCAAGGCCTTGAGCCTTCTCTCCCAATGGAATCTGGTGCCTCCCCAAACTAGAAATCCCAGTGTTGCATCGCATTGAGGTTCCAAGGGAATTCAATTAAGTCAATGGAGCCCCACGTGCGCCTCCCGCGGCAGATCCCGCTTTGGCTTTGGCTCAGCGCTCAGGTTACCATCATTTTGGAAAGGAGAGCATTAGAGTCGACTCAATATTTATGAAATATTCAGGAAAATGTTCACAAAAATGCTCACAAAAAATAATAAAAGACTCATAAAAATGTATTTATTTATTTATTTATTTATTTATTTATTACTAGGCTTGTATACCGCCACTCCCAATTTGGCTCAGAGCGGTTTAAAGCAGTAGATTAAAACAATACAACCAACTATTTTTCTGAGTAATCATGAGAATACTCATAAAAATAATCAAAAATATTAAGAAAAATAATTATTAAAATAATCATAAATGATTTAGAAATATTCATAAAAAGATTCACAAAAGTATTCTCAAAAACCATAAAATATTCATGAAAAAAATCACCAAACTATTCATAAAAATATAAAATATTCACAAAAATATAAAGTATTCACCAAACAAAATCAGGAAATATATTCATTCAAATAATAAACTATATTCCCAAAAAAATCAAAGTATTCATAAAAATAATCACGTAAGCATAAAATAAATATAAAGTATTCACAAAAAATGTTCAAGAAATATTCATTAAAAGAACAAATGATTTAAAAATACTCATAACTATATTCACAACAATATAAAATATTCACAAAATATAAAGTATTCACAAAAAATCAGGAAAATATTCATTAAAATCATCAACTATATTCGCAAAAAAAATCAAAGTATTCATAAAAATAATCACGTAAGCATAAAATAATAAAAAATATAAAGTATTCACAAAAAATGTTCAAGAAATATTCATTAAAGGAACAAATGATTCAAAAATAATCATAACTATATTCACAACAATATAAAATATTCACAAAAACCTTTTGCAAAAGAGAATTTTGAAATATTAAAAAATATAATCTAAAAAAAATTTACAAATTAAAAATTTGCAAAAAGAAAAAAAGGAATTTTGAAATGCTGTTTCTGTGGTCTTCCTTCCGTCCTTAGGTAACCTGTGGTACCGCCAAGGCATCACGCCCAGCTACCCGCAAGGCAGCGCCTGGGAACACGTTTCCAACAACGTGCGCAGAGTCTGCGTCGGACCCTTGGACCAGGTCTGGCCGCCGCAGCAGCATCGTCACGGGGGCATCGCCCTCTCTTAACGGGGCCTCTCCTCACATTATTATAATGGGAGCCTCTCGTCTTGCGATGGGAGCCTTTCAGAGAACAGCAGTCGGTTCAGTCAAGGCTTGCGGATGCTGCCTAGTGATCCCTATAGAAGAGAGCGGGAGGAGGGCATTGGGGCCGTGCTAACATCTTGGCCATCATGTCGTCATCATCATCATCATCATCATCATCATCATATTATTATTATTATTATTATTATTATTATTATTATATTTAGATTTATTTATACCCCTCTTTTCTCTCCACAAAGAGATTCAAAGACACAATAATTATTGTATTATTAAGTTATATATTATGATAATCCTGTATTATTATATTAATATTGTTATACTATTGTTATATTAAAACACAGTTTTTACTGTGTTTTGGAGTATTGTTTTTATTGTTTTGTTGTTTTAATATTGCTTTAATTGTTTTGATTTGTTTTAGTTGTGTATTGTTTATGCTATGTTTTGAGGCCTTGGCCTTTGTAAGCCGCATCGAGTCCTTCGGGAAATGCTTGCGGGGTACAAATAAAGTTAATAATAATAATAATATACTAAAAATAATTCTATATTATTATTGTATAACTATATTATTATTATTATTACTATTAATTTGCAGTCAAATTTTTGTATTAAGTGATATATTATGATAATCTTGTATTATTATATTAATATTATTATATTACTGTTGTATTATAATAATACTAAAATAATTCTATATTATTATTGTATAACTATATTATTATTATTATTATGCAGTCAATTTTTTGTATTATTAAGTGATATATTATGATAATCCTGTATTATTATATTAATATTATTATATTATTGTTTTATTATAATAATACTAAAATAATTATATATTATTATTATATAACTATATTATTATTATTATTATTATTATTATTATTATTATTTTGCAGTCAAATATACTTTTCTCCATGTTTTTATGATAGAACTAATTAGGAAACAAGGACATTGATAACCCAGAAACAAAAATCATTGTGTTACATAATGTTATAATAATATATTATAAGTGTATGTCATTCTTGCATCATTATATATTATTATTGTATTATTAAGCGATATATTATGATAATCCTGTATTATTATATTAATATTATTATATTATTGTTATATTATAATAATACTAAAAATAATTTTATATTATTGTTGTATAACTATATTATTATTATTATTATTTTGCAGTCAAATATACTTTTCTCCATGTTTTTATGATAGAACCAATTAGGAAACAAGGACATTGATAACCCAGAAACAAAAATCATTGTGTTACATAATGTTATAATAATATATTATAATAGTTATTATAAGTGTATATTATTCTTGCACCATTATATATTATTATTGTATTATTATTATAGTGTTTTTCTAATTTTGTATTATACTACTAATATTAACAATATATTATTGTTGTTGCTGCTGCTGCTGTGTATATGATGATGACGCTAATTCCCTGTGATTGCAGGTGTGGGTGATTGCGGACAAGGTCCAGGGCAGCCACAGCCTGAGCTGCGGGACCGTCTGCCACCGGCTGGGCGTGCGGCCGGGGATGCAGCCCAAGGGCCTCTCCTGGGACTACGGCATCGGGGTGAGCCAGAGGGAGGGAGAGTGGGTGGCCGGCCGGCCCTCTGGGTGTCTGTCGGGAGGGGTCGGGTGTTCTCCCCTGCAGCCTGCCCGGGGTTGGGCCAGATGCCCTCTGGGGCCCCTTCCAGCAGTAGGACCCCGGGGCCCTGAAGTCGCTCCATGGAGCTTAAACCAGGGCAGGAGCAGCGGCGTCAAAGGGGGGGGGGGTCCCTGGAAGTGTCACTCTTGACAAGAAGACGGGATAGAAAAGGATTTGAATAGAAGTGCCAGGGGGGGCATTTGGGTGAAAGGGGGCGTGGGGAGACGAGGCGTTCCCTGCCGGCCTATCTGAGTCCTCAATGAGGACTACAAACTTGTGAGATGTGACTGAGTCTTGACCCTCTCTCTTGCTGCTTACTCTCCTGCAGGGAGGCTGGGAGCACATCACGGTCCGAGGGAATGCCACGGAAAGCTCCAAAGCCACGCTGCAGGACGCCCCTGCCCACGAGGAGGAGGAGGAGGAGGAAGAGGAAGGTCCTGACGGAGGAGGAGGAGGCGGCGGAGGAGGAGCTCCCTCTTCTTCTTCTCGGCCCAACGCCGTCTTGGTGGAGGTGACGCAGGCGCCAGGTGGGAACGCGGCCCAGTGCTGAGCGCTGCCTCTTCCCTCCCACGGATCCCGGCACCACAGCCACGCAGGGGGGGGGGGCGCGGGGTCCCTCGGAGCCATAGTTTCCCAAGCAAGCACTCGGGAGTCTGCGCAGGCGGGATGTCGGCGGGACCGGAGCCCCTTTGTGAATGTAGAGACGCCTTGCAGGGAACACACGCGGGAGTTTATTTATTTCCTGGGGGGGGGAATGTGTCTGTGGTGTTGCCTCCGCACAAGGCCTGGGCCAACTCTGGGAGTTTTGGGCTGCAACTCCCACCAACATCAGAAACATAATAATAATAATAGTAAGGACTCTATTTTTCTACCCCGCTTCTGCCTCTATCTCCGCCTCCATCTCCCTGAAGGGGCTGGGGGCGGCTCACGTGGGGCCAAACCCAATCCACAGAGTTAAAAATGCAGCACATTAGAATGCACAACATCAGTTTAAAACCACACAAAACAGCATAATTAACAGAATATAAACCAAGCATGAAAACCAACAGCAATAGCGTAATGCAAGTCTCGAGATGGGTGGGTGGGCGGACGGGTGCCCAGCCCTTGAGAGGAGGGGGCTTTTGAGGGAAGAGCGGAGGTCGTGTGGCGACGTCAAGGAGAAGAGCAATCCAAGAAGGACCGTTCTGACTGTGAATGTAACCGTAATGAAGTGAGCGGCCAAAACTTTTGGGGTCCCAGCTGGGAACGGCCTCGTGCAAAGCAGAACGGAACATCCCTGCCTTTGAGTCCTTGTGGAAGGTGGGCGGGGGGGGGCGCTCGCCGGACGTCTCCCTGGGGGGGCACTCCAGAGCCGGAAGGGGGGGGCACCACCGAGAAGGAAGGAAGGCCCCTCCCTCGCCCTCACCCACCACGCCT